GTGCTGGTGACGAGTGTCTCTGTCACGGTGCCCGTTGAAGTTCCCCTTTCTGCTGCCGTGGTGCGAGGAGCTGGGGCTGTGCTCTCGCTTGTTGCAGTACTCGACACACCGGTGGGGCTGTTGGCCACCGGGGTGGTTTCTGTGCTGGAGCCCACTGTTAATGCTGTTTCCATTGGGGACGCGGTGACAGACGTTGGTGCGGTGGTCTGAACAGCCGTGGTAGTCACCCTCGGCGGGGTGAGGGTGACAAGCACTGAAGGGCTGGTTTCTGTCGCTGTGGGGACAGCCCCTTGAGTTGTGGTTGTGTTTGGCGTGGCAACGACAGAGGCTGTTGTGAGTGTCTCTCTTCCTGCAGCAGTCTCCAGGTGTGCGGTGGTTGTTGGAGTTGCTGCGGTGGTTTCTCCTGCGCTGGTCAGAGTTGCCATGGGTGTCGTGTCAGCTGGCGTGGGGACAGTCTGAGTTGCTATGGTCGGGGTCGCTGTCTTTGTGGTTCCACGGGGTGGGGTGATGTCAGGAGTGGCTCTGGTGGTCTCTGCTGCCAAGGTGGTGGTCAGTAAAGCTGGGGTTGCATTTGGTGTGGATTGCACTATAGGTGTAGTTAGAGCCGGTGGGGGGGTATCCTGTGCGGTTGTGTTTGTCCCTCCTCCCGTAGCTGGGAATGTAACCGTTGTGTTTCCAGCTGGGACGGTGGTAGTACGGAGTGTTTGGGGAACCTCTGTTGCTGCAGTGGTGCTGACGGCGGTTGTGGTATTAGCTGTTGTGCTGGTGATGAGTGTCTCTGTCATGGTGCCCGTTGAAGTTCCCCTTTCTGCTGCCGTGGTGCGAGGAGCTGGGGCTGTGCTCTCGCTTGTTGCAGTACTCGACACACCAGTGGGGCTGTTGGCCACCGGGGTGGTTTCTGTGCTGGAGCCCACTGTTGATGCTGTTTCCATTGGGGACGCGGTGACAGACGTTGGTGCGGTGGTCTGAACAGCCGTGGTAGTCACCCTCGGCGGGGTGAGGGTGACAAGCACTGAAGGGCTGGTTTCTGTCGCTGTGGGGACAGCCCCTTGAGTTGTGGTTGTGTTTGGCGTGGCAACGACAGAGGCTGTTGTGAGTGTCTCTCTTCCTGCAGCAGTCTCCAGGGGTGCGGTGGTTGTTGGAGTTGCTGCGGTGGTTTCTCCTGCGCTGGTCAGAGTTGCCATGGGTGTCGTGTCAGCTGGCGTGGGGACAGCCTGGGTTGCTGTGGTCGGGGTTGCTGTCTTTGTGGTTCCAAGGGGTGGGGTGATGTCAGGAGTGGCTCTGGTGGTCTCTGCTGCCGAGGTGGTGGTCAGTAAAGCTGGGGTTGCATTTGGTGTGGATTGCACTATAGGTGGGGCTGCTGGGCTGGCCTCTGCTGTGGGGGTGGTGGCTTCGGCGGCTGTGCTTGGAACGTGCTGGCTTGTGACAGTGGCTGCTCCAGTGGCCGTGGCTGCTGTCGTGGTGGCCGGTACAGCTGGAGTTTCACTGGGCGCTGGGGTGGGAGGGTCTGTGGTGGAGAGCGCTGGAGCTGCAGGGTCTGTTCCTGTGCTCCCCGCCGCTGTAAAGAGATACGAACAGTCAACGGCGCAAGGTTCTCGCTCTCCCAGTAATGACGGAAATCACCTCGGCAGTGAGCACGGCAGCCCGCGCATGCTCCCTTTTATTGCCCTCATCCAGCAGAACACAGGGTTTGCAGAGAGTCTGACAGGCTGCAAACCTCTCGGCCTTGGGAAGTTCCCCAGATGGCCAACGATCGGCCCGGCCTGCTGCTTTTCCCACATGGTCCAGCGACCTCACCACCTCTGGGGTGGGTTCCAGGCTATCTCAGGTGCCCAAATTCCCCACGCTCTGGCATTCGGGGGGCGCCAGGCCCCAGCCTTCCCGCTCATTGGCGGTAGCTGGGCAGATCCCCTCTCAGGAGAGCCCAGAACATTTCTGGAGCTCACACGGCCACCGCTAAGTCGTCAGCGTTGTGTCTGCTTTGTTGCTGTCACCTCCTAACTTCCCCGAACTCGCCTTCCTGATACTTCCTCCCCCTCAGGCACCTCACGCCACTGAGCCAGCGCTAGGCACCGGCACCGGGCAGCCAGCAAAGAACGGCAAAGC